GTTTAGCTTATCAAACATACTCATCAGGCAAGCTCTTTATCAACTTCGTTAATAATTAATAATTAAATGATTCAAATTGCATCTTGATCCCTAATCCCATATAATGCACCACATTATTTAAATCAGATTAATTTGTTCTGCCTTGATGGGAACTTAACACTTGTGGAAATGCTCGCAAGCAAGGGAAAAGCCTCAACTGTTTAGATTATGATTTTCCAATTTATATTGAATTACACTCCAATTCAATTCCATGTGCGATTGGCACAAACGAACAGCATTTGGCCAATCGTAGTTCGCTTGCCTTAATTGATTGAGAATGAATGCAAATAATCAGCTTTGGCATGGCTTGGACGCTTGTTTATGGCACTGGAGGAAATAACAGCAACTGCTAGACGAATATTTGGGTCAACAAAATAACAGAACCTGAAGCATAAAATTCTTAGCAGTGGCCAGCATGAAGAAGTTTTATATTGTTAAGCGAGTTAACAACTTTGCATGAAAAAGCCAAGGCAAACAAAGCGCACGCAACGGGCTTAAAGAAACCGACAGGTAGACGAAGCGAGTAGCACCTGGTCGTGCCAACGGCAGTCATTGGGGCGGGGCGGGGAGGGACTCACGCATTGACAGCCATATGGAAATGTGCATTGGGGCAAGAGCCAAGCATTGAGCTGCAGTGGCAGCCACTTTTTGGGCCACCCACTGACCCAAATGTGTGGCCAAAGAATTTCAAAGGCCGCACCTTGGCGTGTGTGTGTGTATATGTGAACTCATTTTTGTGGCTCTTTTGGCATGCCAATTAACGCCTTGCTTGGGGCTTCGTATTTGATTTGACTTCGATGCTGGATTCAATGTTTGTTTTATTCATTATTAATTGCCCACAAAAGGCAAAAAGTGCCTCTCTATCAATCTTTCTCTCTCTCTCTCTCTCTCTGTCGCTCGCTCTCGTTCACTAGCTAAACATTTCTTGTTGTCGCATGCCTTAACCCATTTTCTAACCACATTGCTTTGCTCAATTTGTCTTACAAATTCCATGACTTTGCCATATGTATATATATATATGTATGTATATCTATATATATTTATTTAGTTGATTTTTTTTCTACAGCGTAGCCTAAAGCAAGTCTTTCTGTAACTTTCATTCATGCAAGACATTTGTTTGTGGCTTTTGTTGTTGTTATTGTTGTTCGTTTCTTTGGCATTTTGCGGCTTCTACTTTGTCAACACGGCCTGTTGTTGTTGTTTGTGTTTGTGTTGTTGTTGCCCAGTTGGAGGTGAAAGTTTTTCTTTACGTTGCTCGAAGCGTGTTCAATCGATTTGTTAGTTTAATGCTACGGCAAGTGTTGTTGCCCTTAAATATCATATTCTTTATAAATATGGAAAAATCATTTTCAATGAGCTTTTAAATAAGGCATGTTAAATTGTCGTTAATGGGATACACATATTGTTTCTAAAACTGAAGAAAAAAATTGTGTTTGCCGGCAAATACTAAATAAATAAATTGAAAGTTAAAAATAAATAAATAAATGAAAAATATAAAAAAATATAAAAAAAAATAAATATAAATTGAAAATACAGAAAAATAAATTCATATATAACTAATTATATAAAATAAAATAATAATAACAATAATAATATTAATTTTTGTCTAATAAATAACATCTATGAAAATTCTATGACAATAACTCGTAATTTCAATAAACTCTTTAATGTTAAATACATATTTATTTGATAGCAAGCAAATGAAGGTTCTGAATGTCAGTGTAAAATGCAGAAAGCTGTTTGGGCTAGACCTTCTACATATAATATAAAAACTAATAAATAAATTTATTAATTTAAATATACATATATATACATATATATATTTATAAAATTAAACATTGCAATGCTCAATAATTTGTATTGATATTTTATAATAAATTTAAATTTTATATTAAGTATATTTATTATTTATTTTCTATTTATTATTTTCATAATAATATTTATTATATAATAAATATATTTATATGTAGAATGGTCTGACTCACAAAACTGTCATTAAGAACATATATGTATATACATATAAATAGAATACATTTTCATTAGGGATTCCCAGTGATATTCTAGCATTTCTTGCATACAACAAGAACTTTGTTTATATATACTTACAAAAGTTCAGTTTCAAGTGTTTATTCCAATTCAATCCGCTCTGTTTACTCAATTTAAGTTTTCTCTTTTCAATTCAAAGTTTCAAAAGTTCCATCAGATCTTCAGATCAAATGTCTGTGGTAGATCGTGACAGTTGCAATTTGGTCTTCAAGTGCAATATTTTTTCAACAACAATGGCAGTACGAGTTGCAATTGGTTCTGCTTTCATGACGCTTAAGTGTTACGTGCCCATTGGGGTCAGGTAAAAGTAAACTCCCTGCAACTGCAGCTGCAGCTGTTGCATGACACATGCAACTTTCCTTTAATCTCGACAAGGCCTAATCTATAGAAATATATATATATATAGTGTTTATATGAAACATAGATCGCTATGCAAATTAAAACGGCTCTTCGATTATGCCCAGTGGATTGCGTCATTTGTGTGTTGGAAACCCGTTGGCACCTCTTACAAAATAACTCATCAAAAATGTTAACAGAAATGTCACATTTTCCAAGTCGCATTGAAATGCGACACAGTGTGCCGTTAGGCGGCGCACGTCGCAGCGCGCCATTTGGCCAATGAGCGCAACGAAAGACTTAAGACACGAACTTGCTGGAAAGTTCAGAAAATGATTTAACTACGAACGGGATCGGCGCCGGATCGGCTGACTAACTTTTAGTTTTACGGTTTTAATCGCATTTCTGTTGTGGTCAATAAACCTGAAGGTACTCGAATTCTTGGCCAAAAAGAAAGTGAAACGCCACAAAGCACACGCGAGCGCTCACATTCGAGTTTCTCTTGGCGCAAAACCAGTCGATGACAGCGCTCGGCTGTTGTTAACCGAAAATGAGCAGCGACAACAACAACAAGCGAGAGAGATAATCTGGCTCTCACAGAATGAATCAGCGTCTAACCGCACACACACAAACGCATATATAAATCTATATATATGTATATATATAGGCGTATATACAAGTCGAGCAGCAGCAGCAGCACGACGAGACTTTCTGAGCTTTGACTTTGCACCGCATTGAAAATGAAACGCATATCGAGCGAACCGCAAATATTGTTAACAGATCAAATGTTAATTGACCCAAGAACCCACTGCCAATGCCTGAATCGGCTTAGCCCAGCCAACTCCCGCTATTTGGCATTTAGCGCGTGCTACGTTTGCTGCGGCTTTTTTTTTTACACTTTCTAATTTTCTGTGTCCATTGTATTTAAAAAGTATTAAAAATCATTTTAATTGCGGTTATTCGACGCAAATGTGTAAATTATTGTTATTACTGACTGCACTTGTGTGTTGCTGACTTAAATAGAGTAGATGCCGTTGTCGCTGGCCGTGAAAGTAAGAGTTGCGTGCCTAACTGTAACGAGAGTAAAAACTATGAACCATAAACATAGTTAACCACAAAACTCCAATCAAAATTCAATTCAATTTCTCATCTGTATAATAATATATCATGTAAAACTCGCTGAAGCGTGTAAAATGCTCATTACTAAAGCAAAATAATCTCTCTTATATGATATGAGAATGTTATATCACGATGGAAGATGTAGAAGACTTAACTGAGAATTGAATGAACTTCGCTTGGAATAATACAATTTTTATATAATAAGATTTCATTTATTTGGCAACTGTTATTAGTCGCTCATAGATATTTTCGCTGTTTAGTAAAAGCCGTTTACGTCACAGAAAATTCTCAACAGATTCATGAGCTGCGATCCACACTGATCACTGGCTCACGTTCCAGACACATTCCCATGGAGCCCGTTGGCCGTTTGCAAAGTGCTGTTGCACGTTCCTAACAGCTTTCTAAATTTACATAGGCGCCATAATTATAAAAGCGATCCACAATGAGTCGAACTGTGTCGCAAGTTGATTAATGATCGCCGGGCAAAACAATTTACATTTCTATGGCAAATCTGATGGCCGTTAGCAGCTGAAGGCACTAGCTGAAGCAGAAGAAGAACTGGCTGCTGCTGACCCATTATGTTGGCCTGATTCTGTTCGTCTGTGCGTGGAACAGGTTGCTGGGCAATTAAATGGAAATCAATGCGATCGCAATCGCATGTGCCAAGCCCCATGGAGAGCGATTGGCATTCTTAGCGGCTCCAGCTGCACTCTCATTATGATATGTTAACGGTAATATGCTGCATGACATCTTGCTGTGTGTAAGAGCCGCTAGAGCTGAACTGGTTCCACTGACAGCAGAGAGAAGAGAAATACATATATAAGCACACAGATAATTGAGACTGAAAGAAGATTGCACAGCTTCAGCTCACACAGCTCAGAAGTCGCAGCTAATTTGCCATTTGAATATTGAGTTATACATATGTATATGTACGAGTATGTGTGTGTGTGTGTGTGCTAACTGGAGTTTCAGGAAGTCTAGCTCTATGACTCTAATTGCATTTTGCCACCTCGCACGGCGGCTTTCTTGCTTTGATATACATACATAAGTATATATATACATATATTATATGTATATATTCAGTGTATATATTTTCTAGTGCACTTGACATCAGCTTTATGGTTTGGCTTTGGTGCTTCGACTTGGTCTTGGCCAATTTGGTATGTTTTGGCCGCTTTCTTAGCGGCTCTCTAATATGGCCTCTGCCACTGGGGAACAGGTTCGGTTTGACCGAGACACTGGCATTTTAATTGCGCGCAGTTAGACTTGTTTTGTCTTTTGGCTCGGAAGTGGCTCGCTCAGAGCTTAATTACGCTCCACAACAACTTTCATATTTTCTACTTCCATTGAAGCTTGGACTCGGCGTGTGAAGTCATCGTCGGATTTCAGCCTAACAATGGATTCTGTATATAGCTATTATCTAGAACTCCAAATTTGGGCATTTCAATTGTCTCCCGCGGCAAACGCCTCTCGCATTAGCTCTTTTATGTTATATCACCTGGCGAGGGGGCGAATGAGAACACGCATGCAGCCGGCGCATGATTTGGGCCAACTATTTCATGTAACTGCACGTGCACAGCGGCCACTATTTGGTGGATCGATTGTGGCTCGATTGCGTTTTGTGGACTCATTTGCATGCCCGAATCGTGCGCGGGTTCAAGCAACCCGCAATGTGAAAGTGTTATGTGAGCTTTGCGATTGGGGTCTCGCACAAATTTGAAATGCGCAAAACGAAAGACTGAAGACACAAACTTGATGCGGCTGTTTCCTTTTCTATTTCGCACACAGAGCGCCATGTTGAACCAACGCAAGCTACAGGCCTACTTGCTGCTCTGCATAGTGGCTAGCAACTGCCTGCTGCTCACCTTCGCCTTTCCCCAGCAGGAGCTCTACCAGCGACAGCTGGCCCAGTCCCAGTCGCAGTCGCAGTCCCAGTCGCCAGTCTATAGGCCCGAGAGCAGCGGACGCAAGTATGCCGTGAAGCCGAACGCCTCCAAGAAGGTGGCGCTGGATGACATCGAGGATGATATCGAGGGCAATCAGATACAGGAAACCGTGAGCGGACCCGGTGGCTTCACCTGGTCCAACATGCTGTCCACCGTGATGACCATGTTCTTCAATGGAGCCGCCAATGCGCCGACCAAGTCCGACGATGTGGACAACTCAGTTGGTTTGGGCGGCAGCCCCTGGGCCAATGTCATCTCCATGGGTACGATTCGCACGCTACATATTAGAGTTGCTTGGCTTTATTGATTGCTTGCTCTCTTTCAGGTCTTCGCATCATTAACACGCTCTTGGGCGGCGGCGCGCCCAGCGACGGCATCGACAAGGTCGATAACGGCGGCTCGCCCATGCAGGTAATTGGCCTATCCGTCATAAACTTTAAGCCGTTCTCTTTTGCTTTTGTGCCACTTTTTTGGATATGTGTTTTGGCCGCTTTCAGTTTGTTTTTATACTTATATTTATACTCATCTGGTGATTGGTCTCTTTCTCTTCTTCTTTTTTATTATTTGTATTTTGTTTTGCATTTTGTACTTATTTCCTACTATTCCTCAACCTAAAAACCAATTCGCACAGGGCATCTTGGCGGCTGTGCTGTCGTCCGTGTTGGGCACCAGAGATCCAGATCAAGTCAACTCGATGGCCAAGCAAGCTGGCGAGGTAAACCATTATTGCTTACACACCGAACGCACACGAAAGCAAGCACTATGCAACAAAACAAAGGCGCACAGATAAATTCAACCCGTGCTTCAAGCAGTTCAATGCGTGCCCCGCTTGCAAGCAGGTCACTCTATTTGCCACAGCCAATCAACGAATCAAGCAGCTTTTGTCAGCTTATGACTTGCCGTGGAGTTGAAGATTTAAAAAACTTTATCGCTTAATAAATACCTAACATTAGCTTTGCTTTGTTGCATAGTGTTGCCAATGTAAATTATAGTACACACATTACACTACACGACACACACACACACATTTACACTGCTATTCATAGATATACATAGTTATTGGCACAAAACTAATTAACTAATGCTTCCCTATTACCTCGCCTCTTACACACACACACATCCACACCTTACCAACACGTTCTACCAACTCTCGACGCTCCCATTCACAGTTCATACAGATCGTTATGAATCTGCTGGACGCACTGAAGACCTCGTTCTCGCACCGTTCGCTCACCGCCCGCTCCCTGGGCAAACGCGACTCGGTGAGCGATGCAGCCGTCGCTGGCATTGCGCTCCTCAAAGGCTACGTTCGCACCTACCGCAACGCGGACGACAAGTGCATGCAGCGCTACATGTGCGATGCCAATACGGACTGCGTGCGTGAAATCGGAGGCAGCAGCATCTTCTGCCAACTGGGATCGTAAGTAGACCTCTTCGCTGTATGCTTAACCTCTTGATATATCTATATATATCTATCAATAATTTACTCTACAGCTATGCCACTAGCTACATGCTTGGCCGCAGCAGCAACACCAGCTTCGAGCACCTGTATGACGCTGGACGCAGAGGGCGTTCCGGCTTCGATTGCCGCCAGCTGTATCTGGAGTGCAATGAGGTCTAAGGCGTGGCGAGTGCTACGAATTGATGGCACAGTTACTGGACGACTTAAAGTAAATTAAACTTATTAAATTAAATTAATTTATGTGCTTACTTGAAACTAGGTCTTAGCTATTTATATTATTTATTTAAATTCTGTATTTATTGAAAATGCTTATGCAATTGCAAAAACAATTTGCGTTTCTCGAAACGCGCCATTTCTCTGTAATTTACTGCGAAACAAAAAATTAAACAACAACAAAAAAACAAAGCCTTACATAAAGTGAAAGTTAAACGAGTATTAATGCAAATTAATTTTAATTATTATATTTTTTAAGTGGGTTTATGAAGTAACGTTTATTTTAGCTGTGGGAAGCTGCCCGCCTTGCACTGCTTGGTCACATCAAGAAACTATTGTCCGTCAACGAGCAGTCCCATTGGGAAAGCAGTTTTATTTCGCTCGCTACTTTACATTGCAAGCAGGTAAACGTCAAGCAGTGTTCACATTTAAATGTAAGCAACAGTTATATCATAAAACCAAAGTGAAATAAATTCTCTATAAAAGACGTAATTTACAGAATGTATTTTATTGCATACCAAGTTCGTTGATTAGACTTCAGGCGGTGGTTAAACCCTTTTCAGATATTTTGAATGTAATCCTATTTCTGCACTAGTTTACGGCTTACTCATCTCAAAGTAGAAAGCATGCGGGGAAGCTATGAAAAGTTGCAAAATAACTATGGAAACCGTCAAAGGACTATTTTGGCTAGCACTGTGTGTCTGTAGCTGCAACTCGAAACTTTCGCCATTTTGATAAATGTTGACGCACTAAAATTTATTAGGCAGACTGACGACGACGACGAACCTGAAAGAAAATGAAGCCATGCAAATAATGATACGCATATCTACACCTCGACGTTGCACTACGAAAAGCCTAACATATTTTTAATGGCCCAAGTATCAGCATTCTAGAACAGAAAGCGCACCAGCACGAGGGTTGTTATGCGTTAGCTACGCGTATTGCATTCCAATTCGGCAGCCACAGCAGCAGCAGCAGGAGCAGAAGGAGCAGCAGGAGCAGTAGCCTCCAAAGTTATGATTAATTTGTGCTAGCCAAGTTTTGCCGTTTACCAAAAAGTTGGCCGTCATTTAAGCTGCTGCTGATGCTGTTGCCGTTGCTATTGTAGCTTGTCGCTATGAAGTTACCAACAACTGCATATCGTGTGGCCCACCATCAGCAGCATCAGCAGCAGCAGCAGCAGCAGCAGCATCAGCAGCAACAGCAACTGGGTAGTAATTAAAAGACGCTGCTGCCGAACGCTTAAAATTCCATTTAATTACGCTGAGTGTTGAATATCTTGAGAGCGCTAATTAGAACTGGAACTGGCTTGCAAAACTTTTCGGACAGCAACTGCAGACAGCATCGAGAAGTTGTCGCACTGTCGACGCCCCAATTTATTATTTCAGTCATATCCCATTATGCTGTCCGCCTCGCCAGTGAAACAATCGAATTTAAATAATCATCTAATTTGTGCTGCAGCAAATGGAGCGTCGCAACGCTAAATATTTAATTATTTTCACATTTTTTTTTATTTTTTTATTTTTGACAAACTTTAATTGTGTTACGTGCCTTGTTTAAATGTTCTAAATGTGCAGTGAAACTAATTTATGTAATGTCATTATTTGTGTTTGCTAATTTTAATTGAATAAGTGAATAAACTGAGAGAGAGAGAGAGTGAGAGAGAGCGAGAGAGAGTGAGAGCGAGAGATTGAGAGAGAGTGAGAGTGAAAGAGTGGGAGAAGGAGGAAGGGAGGGAGATTGAGGCTGGAAGAGAGAGGGAGAGAGAGAAAGAGAGAGTGACAGTAAGAGTTGATAGGGAGGGAGAGAGAGAGTGAGAGAGAGTGGCGAGTGAGGATGGGAGGGAGATTGAGGCTAGGAGAGAAAGACAGCGAGAGAGAGAGAGAGAGAGAGAGAGAGAGGCTAGACATAAGTATGTGAGGTTGTTTTTTAGAATTTTGCATAATTATTATTCAGAATTATATATGTATATGGCATTAGGCATATGGGAACTTGTTTATTTGTTTGACTATGTTTATATTACTATTATTCGAATTCAAATTATTATAGCGCTGTCTGAGGATGCGATGACCCGAACCAAAGGAGCTGAGCAAAGATATGAATCGCTGACTTGAGACAAGAGAATAGATAAATTTTACAAGGCACATGTAAATGATCTCAAAGTAAAGTCAAAGCTAGCTTATATATCTTATAACCAGACACATGAACAAAAAATAGTCACGCTGTAAATAGTTTGATCGAATTAGTTAATAAGCCAACATTTATTTTATAATTTTTTATGAACTCGACTTCAGTTCATTATTAAATACATATCTCTTCAACTTATGCCATTCAAATCAATAAGAAACTTACGACATTTTGCATTAAATCACTTGTCGCCTCTTATAATTGAAGTCAATTAATGCGAGACCTTAGATTTATTTGCGACAATTGAGTTTATTAGACAAACAGCGCTGGGAGCTGTTTGACGGCTTTGCTAAACATTTTATTGTGTGCAAGCAAACAAATGCAATTATTTATACAGATATACACATACATACATACACATACATACATATATAGAAAAAATGTGAGCAATAGCCATGTGACAATTGCCGCGTAAACAAAATCAAAATTTGAGCACTAATCCGCGGCAGCTTTGCTGCAATTGTTGAGCGTATTTGTCAAGCCAGGGCTTTGGAAATATTTGTTACGTTGCTTTTTCTTTTTTATTGTTGGCATGGATAAACTGCTCAAATGGCTGCCGCAAGCAGCAGCAACAACAACAACAACAACAGGCAGAGCACAAAAGAAGTCCCATTAAAAATGTAATGTTTGCATACAACAATTTCCTGCCAGCAGCAAGAAGAGAGGATTCGGTGCATGCAGCACGAGCCGAGAACAGCAAAACAAACAGGAACCCAAATAAACCACAGCGGGACGACGAGCCGTGAGGCTCAGAGCAGAGTAGCGGGTCGCAGCCATGCAGGCCGTTAAATCGATACACTAGAAAGCGACACAAAACCAATAACGTGTGACACTGTGCCAAATTTGCTCTCGGCTTTTTAGAAGGGGTGATGGTGGGGGTGAGTGTAGTGGGACGGCCAACGATGAGCGGATGGGTCGCATCCTAGTGGGTCCACACTATGCCACGAAACCATTATCCAAAAGCCCCCGCGGCGGCATGTACGCTTGCACATGTCTATTCCGCCTTTGTGTGTGGGTGTGTGTGTGTGTGGGTGGGTGTGGAGCATGTCAGTGGTTGTCACCATCAGCGTCGGCAGCGAAAAATGCGCCGTTATTGGCTTTTTGGGTGACACAATAAAAAGAAAACGAAAAACGAAAAACAAGAGATGTGCAGGAGACCAAATCAAAAGGCAGCAGAGCCGCAGCATCCGCGCCAATCGCCAAATACATACACGCATTCGCATCCGCATTCGCATCCGCATCCGCATTCACATCCACTTTTGATACATCCATGTGTGAAAGGCGCAACAAACTCGGATTTCGCCCTTTTATTACCTTGTTTTGTTTCTGTTCGCTCCTTGTATATATATTTTTACAGATTATGTTGTATTTGTCTGGCAGGCAGAAGACTGAAATTGAATGCGATTTAAACATTGTTTGATGTGATTTTTCACTAAAACATCCTTAAGGGTTTCTGATTTGACAAGCGATTAGGCAAATTTAGCCAGGAGTTGAGGCTCTGCCCGACTTTTATGTATCTCATTCTTATTCTTACTCTTGTGGACTTCTTCGACTTTTGGCTTTAGCAGTTGAAGCTGACGTAGAATACAGATGACTCACAAAGTTGCTTAAAAAAGTCAAAAATAAATATGTGAACTCATGCTAAAATATTTGCAGTCAATTGAAAAAGGAGAAAAAATTATTTATATAAATATTAAGATAATAAAAACAATTATAAATGGCAATTTTTTAATAACAATTCCCAATTCTATTTCACACAGTTTTCCCTATAGCTGTAACCACTGTTACAGAATTTAACTCTGCTGCATTTTCCATAATATATTTCATAGTCCATGCAGAATTCCGGCAACTTTGCAGCTTTGGCAATTTGAAAATTTTAAACTTTCGTAGAGCTACTCGAAATTCATATGAAATTTTTCTGTGTTTGGGTCACGTAAAGTAAATTATGGAGCATTCTTTGGTATATGAAATGTGCGGATTTGCGTATTGAATAATTCACAAAGGGGTTTTCGGCTCTAAATATTTAATTGAAATGTGAATCCGTAGGCAACCCAGAGCGCTCCATTTGCCAGCCCTCGACACGTGTGCCGCCTGCCTAATGCCCTCGCCATGGACCACGCTTAATCTGCGGTTCCATTTTGCATTTGACATAATGTTCTTTCTATATTGGAAAGCCAGGCGGGCCACACATACTCGATGCCGTTTGGCCGGCCAAATAACCAAAAGCCATTTGGCTGCTAACTACTTTTCGTGTGGGCCCCAACCAAAGCCGAGCCGACTTTTGCCACTTGTGGGCGGCCTCGCGGGGGCTTATCGGCTGAGGAATGCGCCCGCATAGGCTCATTTTGGTTCGTTTGCTGGGCTATCGGAGGTCCATTGCCGCACTGTCCACCTCCCGAGATGTGGATGTAAACAAGCTGTCAGAGCGACTAACATCCATTTGATTTGCTAACGACGATTGCTCTACTCTACAGCCGCTGAGCGTCGCCTCCAATGGCACTCAGCTTGACCGAGAGGGAAAAAACGCATTAGTTAAGCAGCCCGAAGAACATCTTGTTAACTGACTGTGATTAATGGCCACGCGAGAATTGATTAATTAATAGATACCCTTTGCCTCTCAACTATTCACAGAAATTTTGAAAATATTATTGTTCTCTTCTCTCCACTTGAATAGAATTGTTGCAAAAGTCAATATGCCATCTTTATAATTGTTGTCGTATTATATTTGTTTATGTTTTGTGAAGAGCTTTCCTATAAATTACTTTGTCTGTGGGATTTCCCTTGAAATTCCCGTGAAATTCCAATTCACTTTCGATTTGTTTATTAGTTTTCTGCATAATTAAGTTTTACAATTTAATTGATTCTCACGCTCTACTGACTCTAGTCTATTCATTTCCCTTTCCCTCGTATATTTGCCTT